TTATTACTTTTCACGTAAGAAAGTATTCTTACATTTATCTAACAGTTCTTTTCTTTTATTTCATCATAAAAAGAATCATAAATATCAAAATTATGATCATTTTCTCTAAAATAAGAAAAATTAATTTCAATTAATATGATATTAATATTCTAAAAGTAAGCTTTAAATCAGTATTATCTGAAAACTATATGGTGCATAACATCTAAAGTCATTAAACGTTTGTATTTTTTAAAAAATGTATAAACATATTTACTAAGAAGTAAATATAAAATTTAATCTGTGAATATGCTCAGAAAGGGCCAATTCTATCATATTCACAAATTAAATTTTGCATTTACTTCTTTGCAAAGATGTTTATACATTTTGTAAAATACAAATGTTTGATGACTTTAGATGTTATGCACCATATAATTCCTGAAGTTAAAGATATCAGTATGCTCTATCAACAATTCTCTTAGCAAATTTTTATACTAAAATTAATATTATTTAATTATTAACTTACCAAAAATACATTCTTCCAAAATAAGAATCTTATACTTCTAGATAAAATTTTAAATTATTCATCAAAAATCTGCAAAATATCATCAGAAATATATAGTAATAATTATAAGTATTTGAATATATAATATTATATATGTATTATATAATACTGTTATATATTTTTTATTAATTGAGTAATTAGCTAATAAATACAAACAAAAGTTGAAAGAGATAATTAAACAAATATAAGAATAATATGAAAATAATATCTAAGTCCTATGCCAATTTCTACTGAAATTGTTATAATTCAAAGAGAAAAAAAGAATAAAGTAATAGAATTTTCAATTAGATATAGTATTCTGATTAATTATACTAACTAATTAATTTATAAATTATTTAATTGAAGTAACAAATGAATTAATTAACTAATTAAAATAACAAAAATAACAAAAGTAATGAAGACTCTTTTACTTTGTTCTTCTCACAAGAAAGAGATTATAATGTCTTTAATTGAGAAATTCCAAATAATTTGATCATAATAAAAATATTAAAAGATCAATTATAACAAAATATCAATTTAATGGGGAATTTCACAGTATTTACATTCTGCGCGCTGTTGTTGAAATCTAGCAATATGACCAATTTTATTAAAATGTTCCCATATAGAACTTCGAGAAGCCATAATATTTCACAATATTTACTTAAAAATTATAATAAAGATGTAACGTAGTGATAAACGTTATCGATGTATAAATGCGTTGATGTTCTGGTTTATTTATCGTTATTAAAGTACAAATACCTTAATTGGTGATGATCTGTATAATTGTGTATGGGCATTTATGATATTGGTTAGTAACTATGCGTATAATACGTATCGGCCCATCTCTACTCCTGCCGCTACATTTCGTATCACAAAAAATGAAAAACGTATTCTAACGCTAAGGAAAAAATAATTAAAACATGGCAATGATCAATGAAGATTCAAGCCAGATATCGCTAACAGAAGAGCAAGAATCTTTACTATTAGATTTACGTGATCAATTTCGCTCTATCATATCAACGTGCGTGTTTTTAGAAACCGTTCCACGACGTATCAGAACTTGGATAAATGAAAAAAATCAAAACGTCCAAATTCAGATCACCGAAGAACTCTTATTTTCCACTTTATTGATCGGTGTTTCTGAAAAGCCACTTTTATTCGAATCACTATTAGCATTCTTTTACGATCGTGGAATTGGCACCACGCAAGACCGGACGCAAGCTTTAGAACTCTACGAAAGAAGTGCCAACACCGGAGATCCATTAGCACAAAATGAGTTGGGATTTATCCTTGAACATAGGGACCCTACCCTCTCGCAATACTGGTATCACAAAGCAGCAAAATCCAGGTGGCCGGATAGTTTTGATAATTTGGGGCGAATTTATTTCAGTGGAAATGGTGTCAATCAGGATTTTCGTTATTCTGTATATTACTTTAGACTTGGTGCGGGATTAGGGCTTGCCAATTCTCAACTCAATTTGGGGTTGCGCTATCAGAGTGGTGATGGGGTGGTGAAAGATTTACATTCGGCGATTCATTGGTTTCATAAGGTATCCAAGAATTCTCAAGAATTGGAAATTAGGACAACTTTGCAACAAACCTTTAGAACTGGTTATTACATGTATTAATTTTATTTAAATATTTAATTACATTGGCGAAATAAATTTAAATACATTGATTAAAAAAAATAAATTATCGAAATACGTATTTTAAATAACAGTTATTTTGATTCCAAATTCTGAGAAAATATTCAAATTACTTCCAAAGATTCAGCGTTATTTCAGACATAATCGGTTCACCCATTTTATTCTTCGAGTACATTGTCGAGAAAAACATTCTTAAATCATAATGTGGTTAATAAATCAATCACACATTTTATCGTTATCGTTATGAAGCAATTTTACCTTGATGTAATGACGACAATGTTTCCGATTATGTTCCTTCAATTGTTACCGTATACATGTAATATCAATATCTTCGGCTGAAACTTCAATTGGTGACGATGAAATCGTTGACGTTGAATGTTGTTTCTATACATGCCAGAAACTAAACTACCGTATTTTTCGGCAATTAGTACCCCGGGTCTCTTACATTCTAGGGGCTCAAAAATTGATTAGTACCCACCGGGTACTTTGTGAAGAGGAGGGTATATTATACGGTGGATACTTAACATGGAAGCCGTAATTTTGACCCGGATTACACTAGTTTTGGCTTGAATAATGGTAATTTCAGGAATTATGAAGGAGGTACTTTACATTCTACTCAACTTGTAACCGAGATTAATACCAGGGTACTTTATCAGGGGGATATTTCATCAAGGGGGTACTGATTGCCGAAAAATACGGTAGAAAGTTTTTTTTTACAAAAACATGTTATAAATCCAGGCAGGATTATTTGAGTTGCTTTGCCGAAATTACTTTTTAAAAAATAGTTTCTACGGGCATGTATAGTTGTTTTAATCGCTCATTTGTATTTCTAAAATCTTGATCATAATTGAGATGCTTTTAAATAGCATTTTTGTTATCGTTATTATTTCTTATGTGTCGTGAAGTCTTAGTGTTTATTTCTTCCGATGTACGGACATGTATTAGCGTTAGCGTTAGATTTCTTTAAACCCCTGGATTATGCCGATACTACATGTACATGTATAAATGTATTGGTATCGGTATATACCGATACATATACAAGTACAAATTAGCAATAGATCATCATTAATTAAGACAATTACGTACTTCATTGAGTAAATAATATGTAGTTAACTTATCGATGATCAGCATTTGTAATGTCGGAAAATTTTGGCATTACACATGATCTACGGAAAGTATGACGAGATATACAATCTACTGTTGATGATACAACGTTAACGTTAACAAATTTTGACGAAAGACAGATAGCAGAGATCCATGAAGAGATTACCAACAACAACAGATTAGCCTAATCTTTTTAATTAAGTTCCTGCTCAACAATAAAATCAATCATTAACGTTAATAACAGCAGACATTTATATCGATATTCTTGCTAAGACATCATGTACTCGCATATAATTAATATTACAGTATTGAAACACATATTCAGGAAATAGAGGCAACAATCAAATTCGTCAAAGAGATGTACATAAATCTGTAATATTAAAAAATTAATAGAATTAAAACAAGGTTAATTTATAATTTAAGAACTTCTAACAATATCAGCAAAGTCATCAAATCACAACATCGATATATGCGTAAATACTTTGACGACTAAGTTAAAGTTAGTATATGCTCTTATTTACAAAGTATATCTCTAATTTCTATACTCCTGCAATTTAAAAAGTTTAGCTATGGTTCAAGTAATCTATACTCAACAATTTTAAAAAAATTTGTCTCTAGATTGAGTTTAAAGATTTTGAAAATTGAAACAAATTGTTGAGTATAGATTACTTGAACCATAATTTTATTTATTTGCAACTTTTTATGATAATGCTTCTCTAATGGTCTCGCTTCTTCATTTATGTAATTTGTGAGTCAACATTCCAAATTGTCGCAGAAATTATACAAATTTTTATATTTCTACAATAACGATAATGTGAAAAGAAACGAATATATGTTAAAAGTTGGAACGAGATGCGTGTTGAATTTTTAATCAACCTAGATTGATTCATAATTCTAGATTAACCTAGAACATATATAAGAGTCATTGATATCGTCACAGATTGTATTTAGTCAACAAAGTCAATAAACCTACCATAGATTCCTTCTCGTGTAGTATTCTTTCTGTGTTAAAGATTAAGTACGTATTCAATGATCAAAATGGGTACCTTTTAATCAGATCATCCTCTGCAAGTACTAATTGTTGTTAGCAAATAATTTATTATCAAATTACTAATACTTTTGAGTTTTTATTTATTATTTGCCACAATTTGAAACTTTGAGCTCTTCTTTAGGTTTCTTAGAATATTTTGTCAACTCTTTTTGCTAATATATCTTGAAATAGCTGTCTATTGAAATAAATAGATGAACAAATGAATTCAATGAATATATTTACTGTAAAAATGCTAGATATAATAATCTAATGACTCAATAAGTACATGTACCTGACACAAATAATGAGAAATTTGTTTTATTGTATTTTTTGACCAGAAGCATGTATCAGAAAGTCTTAAGATTTAAGAGAAAAGTTTATTATAATAACTTATTATTAGCTTAACATGTTTTATTATTTGAGTAATTTTTATGCAAAAATTAGCAAATAGAAAATATGGTTTGTATTTTAAAAGATTTAAGAAACAAATCATCACTCAGATGGATTACTAATACAGAAAATTTTTTTATTTGATAATTTCAAAATAATAATTTATATATCTTTTATTGGTAACTCTAATAGTTTTAATATATTCAAATATTTAAAATTAAAAATATCAATTCACTAAAAATTTTATTAACATTGCACAATTTTTTCATATTTGAAACTTTAAATTTCAATATCACAGAATTTTAATAATATTATCATTGATATAGAAATAAATAGGATAATAATGATGATATATGTGTGGAATCGATTTCTGCGTGAAGAAATCGAATAACATGAAAAATAAAATATTAGTTTTTGTTAATTGTTAGTCACTAATTGAAACTAAAATCTATCATTCTTTTTAACTTGATTCACTTTGTCTTAATTTAATAAAAATGAAACCTTTCCCCTTTTACGTATTTGATTCTTTCGACACATATATAATAGGACATTTGCTGATCGTTTTGTGCTCTTCGAAATCTAGTGTTTGTTAAAAAAAATAGTATACAATATTTTAAAACGTTGAGACTTCGTCGTCGTTGTTAACGAAAAAACTCACATATGCTAACATTACATTATAAAATAATATATATACAGTACAATCAAAGTCGTGGTATAACTAATAAATTTTACCTTCATTTGTTTATCTATATCATATTCAGTAGTCACATATTCTAGAGTTATATGCAAGCAAATATGTTAATATGTTTATATATTTAATAAAAATAATATAACAAGTTTACCTTCGTTTGGAACAAACAAACTGACACTTGACATTCCTATACATTTGATATGAATTTTAATTACTGTGAAATGCTAATATGATTCATATTTCAAGATAAAAGTACCTGTCTCAGTTGGAATCGAAATTAGTTTTGTGGTAAAGACTCGACTGGTGTAACTGCGTTTGAGTTGATTTGTTTTTTGTTCGTATTTGTAGGAACACTTTTTTACCATCTCATCTTCTGATCAAGTTCTTTGAATTCCTGCCATTGCAGTTCGAGACACTCAATAATTTTTTCATGTGTTTTAAGATATTCTAAGGAGCTATAATACTGAAAATGCAAAGTATTTAGTTTTCTTCTCGCTTAATGAGCTCATCAGTATCGTTGAAAGATTTGAAAAGTCTGCAAGTTCTTTAGCAGGTGGTCTGTTTTCTGGAATAGGATCAGACTCATCAAACTTATGAGTATAGAGGATGATCATACTTGCATGTATGAATATTGACCAGTTAAGGGTAGAGTGTAATACTATATATATAAAGTAATAAATTATTTTTACTATATAAAAATTTGTGAGATTACAAAGATAAGAAAGATAAGTCATGTCGCAAACCACCAATCTGATAAAAACAATACGTTACTAACTTGAGAACCTCTAGTTTTTACTGTAAAAATCTTAAGTAAGTTTTGACAGCAACTTTTTGAGTCTTAATATTTATAAAATTTGCGGGTAGAAACAAGCGGTTAGTGTTGCGTTCCTTCTAATATTTACCGAAAGGGTTTATTCTGCGATGGTTTGGGGCACCAGATTATTGCAGTTATTGCAATAACCAATCGATTCAAGTAACTTTCTGCAACGGGATGGGAGTTAAACTGAATTATTTACGGTTGGAGGGTCTCTCCGGTTGTTCTAGAGGTTTCCCGTG